AGAAATCTGGCAAATAAGAATGACCCTTCTGCCAACCTTAAGGGTTGGCCTACTAAGCCATGTAGCCTGTTCTTCTCTGTTACGGTTGAGAGTCGACCTCAAATGGGAAGACATTTTCATATTAGATTAAAAGTGCCCGGCACATATATTAAATAACGTCGACAAAGCCAGTTGTGGTGACTGGCTATTGAAACAAGACTTTAGAGATAATTAAATTGGAATATTGTCTCATGACTCTAATCATGTGATGGGGCAAATTAAGTTATTCTTACGTCATAGCATAGTTAGATTTCACAGTTTCTTTTCAGTGTTGCATAATCGAAAAGAATGTGAAAATATAAGAGATTTGAATTCATTTCCCTAGTAGACATCAGACCAGGTACTTTCATGGCAATTTTGTATATGAAAAGACTTCTTAGTCTGCTGAAAGTTGAGAGTTTATAAAATACCTATTCGGCTGACTTAATAAGCCATTCGAGTGGGCCTTGTAGTAATCACTCCTTGGATGTTGTTGCTATTTAACAACTATGCGGATAAATAATTTCTCAAATCTTTTGATAGGGATAAAAATTCCATAGTTAAGTAAAGTGGAGTTCGGTTCATACTATATAGTCGAGATTTCGAAATCACAGATAGCATATTTTTCAGCTGTTGCGATTAAGATTCTTCGCAGAAAGTACTTGCGAAAAAGACATGTATGAAGATATTCTCAATAAACCATTGAATAACAGGCCAGTTTGCATAATTTTGATACTAGCATACCTTTTATTTCGTTCGAGAAGGTGGGTGGAAGAGATTCGTAAATTGGTAGGAAGGGGAGTGGATGTAGCCTCGACTTTTGTCTGTGTGAATAAACTAGAGCATGATCCTGTAATCCTGGGTGTGGTTAGAGAACTTGTGATTGTTCCATACACACAAGCTAGTTTATTTACAAAAGTTTCGATAACCTACTCACGAAAAAAGTTGTGACCACATCCACTCCATCAACTGCTTCACTTTGACCCTATACATGCATATAGGACAAGAATTAAACAGCCAAGCAAATCATGAAGGTATAGGAAGTAAGTAGGATCTAAGCTGACCACCTATCTTGGTTTAGTATATTTGGTGTTTGTTCGTGAATAATGGTTTATGGCTCTGACGATGTCCATCACATGACGGACGTAAGCTCAGCACTGAGTCATTGGAGTCATAGAACGATGAGCCGAGGTCTTCTTCGCACAATTCAACATACAAAAGTCCAGGACAACCTTCCTTCGGTATCCGATGAGGCCAATCTACGAATCTCTTCCACCCACCTTATCAGACGAAATGAAAGGTATGCCATTATCAATCTACTAAGGGATTCTTTGAAACCAAGCTTCTTTTCACATGTATAATTTTGGTTTATAAAAAAGCTTTCGAGACTACCAATACTTTTTTTAGAGAAAATCTATAGTTACCCTACTTCATAACAATCAGAATTCAACCAGAGGAAAAGAGAAGATGAAGATAGGTCAGAAAGTGGTTAACCCGTGCAAAACACCATTGGACAATAGTACTACTAAAGAAGTTCTATCTAGAGGTCTTAATTATGCTTTTCCAACTAGTAAGAGCTTCACTGATGAGATTTTAGTAGAGATTATTATTTTTACTGACTGATTAGCAGAAGATGAAATACAAGTTGTTCTACTAATTAATAACTATTTAGAACCCCAAAATAAGAATAGATTTGTTAATAATATCACAAAGAAGCTTAGACAACACGAGCAAATAGTTTTGAGGGCAGACAAAAGAGGAGCAGTGGTAGTAATGGATAGGACCAATTATATAGAAAAGAGGATGCTGGCTTTAGCCGATGTTGATACATATAGAATTATAACTAAGGACCCCACAGAAACACTAAAGTCGAGACTTAAGAGTTTCCTGCACCAATAAATTAATAATGGAGATTTGGACAAGTGGAAAATGAATGCACTTCTCGAACGTGACGCTAGACCTAATACATATGGTCTGTCCAAAATCCACAGAGGTGTCCCCACTTAGGATCAATGTAAATAATAAGGGTGGTGTGATGCATAAAGCATGACGATTTCTTTGTGGTAAATTAAAGTTGATCTGATTGGAGTGTCAAGATAATGTAGAAAGAAACAAAAACGCTTTCCTCGATCATGCCTTCTTTTAGAGAAGCTTCCGACGCCTTCTGCAGATCAGGCTGCTATAAGGCTTTGTGCTCATGTGGTAGTGTTTATGTGGGGGAAACTTGTCGACTCATAAATAAGAGGCTATCAGAACAAAGAACCTCTTGCAAAGGTCTATGGATTCAGAAATCGGAAGTGGCTGGACTTGTAGTTGCTACTGGACACCAGATAGTGGGCTAAATCCCAACGTTTTGCAAGATAAAGGGACTTCACAGCTAAGCGGAAGATCAAGGAGTCATTTGAAATTGACAAAACAAACAACATCCTGAATGAATGTAGGAAACTAAGTAAGAATTGTCTCTGGCTTCTAAATAGAGTGAGCGAAAGAGAGAGGAAAAGGAGACAGCAAGAACCAGTGAGTAAGAGAAGAAGACTATATTAAGCTGAAGCTTGTTTTTTAACCTAAACTTGTAGATATGAAGATAAACTGGGTTTCGATGAATCTCCTGAGATAACATTGTTGGAGGGACTTTCATTTCGTATGAAAGTGCATGAAGAAGAGATTCGTAAGTTGTTCTCGCCAGAAGAGGACGGATGAATACCGTTGTACTGCAGCTGTTTGGCTTTTATACTACTTTCAGGTTGACGCAGTCCACGGGACCTCCTCCCTCGTTTCGGATGAAAATGGGCTGAGATTTCGTCCATCATATGATGGATATCATCAGAGCTGGGTCTCATTTCTGTAAAAATCTCACGTTACCATTAGGATAAGAAGACTATTCGGCTCTATCTTACCCCTTATATAAACTCAATTAAGACAAAAGATAATA